CAAAAATGATGAAATTACGAGAATTATATTTACGAAAATGTTTGAGAAACGCAGCAGAGGTGGTTATGTTTATTGCCGAGTGATAAACAACAAATTTACTGATTATGAACAAACTGGGAATGATCGATGTATATGTCAAGATAACTTGTCACCAGAATTGTATAAAATGCCTTGTTCTATCGAACTCCAAAATCCTGGCATTGCTCAGAAAGTATATAACTCGCGATGTGGATTCAAAAGTCGGAATTCCGACATCTCATGCAAACGCTAGTATGAACGTAGAAATGCAGCTAGACACATCATTTTTCCTGTTCCTGAAACGAATGTAAAGTTTCCTTAAACGGGTCTCTTGAGTATACAATGCACGATCTTCATTCAAAGCAACTTCTGCAGTTTATTGCAACCCTTGTTAAAGCGTACATCCAAATCGAATCTGAATGATTCGTGAAGAAATTTTCTCTTTGAGAGCTCTTCATATCAAACAGACCGTTGGTATGTTTTTGTTCGACAGTAAAAACAAATGACAATACAAATCATTGCTTGAATCGTCTGTTCTCAAATTGATGAATTCACTTTTAGAAGAATGAAATTGAACGACGATATCTTCAAAACGTGCGATCGTCAACACCCGATGAGAGTGTGGACAAGGAGAGTACAATGCACAAAGAAGAAACAGTTTCATGTGAAGCAGTTCGCAGAATGAAGAAAATCTCATGGTTCCCGAATGTGTCACGTCGTGATCGACCACCACTGCCTCCACCGAAACCAACTGTGATATACGATCATCCTTTCGATGATGACATCGATTATGAAAGTGAAAATTCTGCAAATATGACTACAAATATGAGACAGTCCAGCGAATCAGCACAGTCAGTCAATGCCTCACATTCCGTGAACAGACCGAACAGTTTCGGTGTCCAACCACTGTCTAATAACCGTTCAAACTCCCGACGTGATTCTTACTCTCGACATCAAACCCATAATGCATTGTCAACTCCGTTTACTGCTACAACTTCACCCTCAGTCCCACCTCAATTCCCAGCTCCACCCCCACCTTCACCCTCAGCCCCACCCCCACCCCCATCACAATTAGCATCTGCCGCACCCAACAGCTCAAAAGCGTTTCACATTTCCGAAGGGCGTCAAAATCTTCTTGAGGTAATTACACTCTAAATTCAGAGGTATCTAAACTGTTCTCAAATCTGGCAATTCCATATCTGAAATGGAAAATTTCCGTACCTGTTTCCTTCTGTGTGAGTTACTTCCTTCTAATAGATGCGCGTGTTCTCAGGCAAACATAATAAATACCAAGCGTAAGTTTCTATACAGTGAAGTGTGGCATCTTTTTGACGATAAGCTGAGATGAATTCTTTTCATTATGCTAATCATCAACGAATAAATATTTTTAACTCTTTACAATACAAGCATTTTGTTGACTAGTAGTGAGTATTTAGTGATTCGATCGAAACAGAACAATTAAAGTTGTATTTGCCGAACTGTTACTGCAGGCAATTCGAAACGTGGACAAGTCAACGTTGAGAAAGGTGACGCACGAAGAAGAGGATGTGACATCGAATGCAAGTGCGATAAACAGCGCGTCTGAGGGTGATGTTATGAGTGCGATTGCAAAAATGATCGAAGAACGAAGAAAACATATCAACGTTAACTCAGACGGTTTGTGCTTTGATATCACTTGCAACGTTGCACATTGTCAAGTCTCTGAAACAATACTGACTTTCTGACATTTTCTCAACTTACTAAGCAAACTGGCTCGTTGTAGATGAAACGAGTGATACGAGTGGCGAAGACGAAGCGGACGATGATTGGAGCGAATGAACACAAAGTGAGTGAATGCACCGTCAGAAACGCATCTCTCGAAACATTCCGTTGATCACGTTGATATTTATAAACTGACTCAAT